GATTTAAGGACGAAAATGGTACAATCCAGGCATCCTCAAACTATGGCCCGCGGGCCACACGCGGCCCACCGGGTGTTTCTGCCGCCGCTGCCTGTCCTGCTTAGCAGCCGACTATGTGCAGTGTGCATACGAATTTGTTCATAGTTTTTTTTAAAAAAAAAAAACTATATTCTCACAATATTTAGGATGGAAAAAAAAATAATAAAATAAAATAAATAAATAAATAAATAAAACTATAGTCCAGCCCTCCAATGGTCTGAGGGACAGTGAACTGGCCCCCTGTTTAAAAAGTTTGAGGACCCCGGTATGATCTGTTGTAGATTTTGGGGTTTGTTTTAAGCCCTCTGGACATTTCGTAATGACATAATGATCAATCCATCAGGAAGATGTAACCATCCCAGAGAAATACACGCCTAATAACAGAGCTTCCAGATCCATGAATTCAAAGCCTTCCTAGACAAGCAGAGAAACAGATCAATTCAGAGTTGGAGACTTCAACATGCCTCTTTTGGGAGTTGACTCTGATTAGTGTGAAAATTAATAATGATTCCCAAATCACAGCTGTTGTTGTGAATGAATTTGCAGCGACTTTACATTTCTCACCCTGTCTTTGTGTTTAGAGATGAGGTTCCGTGGAGCTTGCGTGGTCATAATAAACAGTCAGAAAACCAGTGAGGATATTAAAGACTTTGACGACGTTACCAACCACGTAACCTGATGGACAGCCATAGAATTTACGGACTACTCCACCCAACAACTGCAGAACAGACGTGGCTTTTCAAATGTCTGGGGAACCTTCACCAAGATAGACCCTATGCCGGGCTGTAAAACAAGTCTCGGTAGATTTAAAAGGACTGAAATCCCGCGGAGTATGCACCCTGACCACCAGGGAGTTGAAATACAAATGCATGACAAAAAGATACCTGAAAAATCGCAAATATTTGGAAATTACACGAGACACTTGTAAATAAAGAAGAAATCACAGTGGAAAATAAAAATCCCTCTGGCTGATCTGTGAGGAATGGGTTGGAGCAGGGCGAGCATGGATACAGGGAGACCAGTGAGCAGAACTTTCTAGAATTCTGGAGGAGCTGCAGTGGCGCCTTGGACTCTGGGTGAGGGAGTGGAGAGGGGAAGAAATGGACACCTTCAGGAATCCGGGAGGTTGAGCCTGTGTGGGAGACTTGCTGAGGATTGGATGTGAGCCACGTGGGTAGGAAGGGAAACCACAGTGACCTCGAGGTTTCTGGGTCAAGTCCTTGAACATCTCCCTGCGGCTCTGAGGATCGAGTCTGAATTTGTTGCCATAGCTCCTGATCAGGCCCCTGCCCGCCTTGGTGGCCTAACCTTCCACCACCCCTTACTTTCCTGCTGGAAACTCCAGCCCCACCAAGCCCCTGGCAGTTCTCCCCTTGCCATGCCCAGTCTTAGCACATGCTGTTCCACTTAGCTCAACATACTTTGCCCTGCTTTTTACTCATCTCTCAGTTTAGGTGTCACTTCTGCTGGGAAGCCTTCCGAGCTTTCCCTCCAGACTGGCTTAGGGCCTCTGCTGTGTGCTTCTGTGCTACCCCAGTCATCGCCTGCACCTCACTTTGCTTAGCCCCTTCTCTGTCTCCCCCATAACTCTCCTGAGAGTGGGGACTAGGTCTCATTCTTTCACTGCTGCTACTATTATTGTAGCCAGCTGCTGGCTCACTGGGCTCTGAGTCAAGGAACTCAGCCCTCTTGAGAGTGAGACCCTAATAATATCCCTGAACAATCATCAAGCCCTTGCTACGTGTGTGCCAGGAGCTTCACACACATGATCTCATTTCATCAACCCAGCAGCGCGATGAGATGAGTTCCATTTATAAGAAGAGGAAACTGGCCGGGCGCTGTGGCTCACGCCTGTAATCCTAGCTCTTGGGAGGCCGAGGCGGGCGGATTGCTCAAGGTCAGGAGTTCAAAACCAGCCTGAGCAAGAGTGAGACCCCGTCTCTACTATAAATAGAAAGAAATTAATTGGCCAACTGATATATATATAAAAAATGCATGCCTGTAGTCCCAGCTACTCGGGAGGCTGAGGCAGAAGGATCACTTGAGCCCAGGAGTTTGAGTTGCTGTGAGCTAGGCTGATGCCACGGCACTCACTCTAGCCTGGACAACAAAGTGAGACTCTGTCTCAAAAAAAAAAAAAAAAAAAAGAAGAGGAAACTGAGGCTTAGCAGGCTTAAGCAGCTTGCCCTAAATCACACAGTTCATGGTGGAAACAGAATTTGAACACAGATTTCAAACCGAAATCTTTTACCCACCAAGTTTTACTGTCAGAGTCAGACCAGGGACCGAGAGGGTGGCTCACGCCTGTAATCCTAGCACTCTGGGAGACTGAGGCGGGTGGATCGCTCGAGGTCAGGAGTTCGAAACCAGCCTGAGTGAGAGCATGACCCTGTCTCTACTATAAATAGAAAGAAATTAATTGGCCAACTAATATATACAGAAAAAATGAGCCGGGCATGGTGGCGCATGCCTGTAGTCCCAGCTACTCAGGAGGCTGAGGCAGGAGGATCGCTTGAGCCCAGGAGTTTGAGGTTGCTGTGAGCTAGGCTGACGCCACAGCACTCTAGCCCGGGCAACAGAGTGAGACTGTCTCAAAAAAAATAAATAAATAAAAATGCACTTGAAGAGGAACCGGTGAGCCCCTGACCGTGTTGTGCCTATGGCCGGGCCTTGGCCCACGCTTGGCACAGTTTGCAGAGCGGTGGCTGGGGGAGGGTGCCCAGGTGGGGCGGAGCACTGAGCACGGAGCAGGGGCGGGAACCGCCTTACATTCCAGCCAGCAGCGCACAGATGGCCCTTGTGTGCCGCCTCCCCCAACTTTACTCTGCAAAAACAAAGGCCTCGTTTCTAGTGCTGACTCTTTTGCATAAGGGAATCAGAATGGCTAGTTTTATATCCTTTTGGTAAATACTTCTCTTCCCATTATAAGGTGGCCAACAATGATCCTCTTCAAATTAATAACCAGCAATAATTGCTGCAGAATTCGCCTCCAGAGATGCAATATTGTAGAAAGAGTGATTTTTTTTTGGCCTTTTGTTTTTTCAGATAAAGAGGAAAAAGGCCTATGTACTTGTTTGCCGCCAAGGTGCTAGGTGGATTATAATATTAGAAAGGTTTAAAAACTTCATTTCTTCCCCACTTGCCGCTGACTGCATAGAAGCTCTTTGTGGCCGGGCGTGTTTGGAAGCGCCGTGGGCATCGGTGCGTGTAGCAGCTAATTACACTTGACATTTTAAAAGGGACAACACAGAGATGTCTTACCAAAGCGCTGTTTTTTGAGTGCTTACTATGTGCAGCCGCTGTGCTGGCTCCCCTGTGTGTTTCATTGAACCGCCTCATTGCGACAGCCCGGGCGCCAGTGCTGGTGGCGATCTCGCTCTCTGCTTTGTGCGGACGGGGAAAGACTGAGCCCCTTGTCCAAAGTCCCAGGGCTCATGCCTCATGCTGTCAACACTTGAACTCAGGACCTCCAGACTCAGGATTCTTTTTTTTTTTTTTTTAGACATCGTCTCACTCTGTTGCCCAGGCTAGAGTGAGTGCCGTGGCGTCAGCCTTGCTCACAGCAACCTCCAACTCCTGGGCTCAAGCGATCCTCCTGCCTCAGCCTCCCCAGTGGCTGGGACTATTGCCATGGGCCACTATGCCTGACTAACCCTAAGGCTTTGAAGTCTCAGCCCCCAGGACAAAGCTCTGGAAAGCTAAGCAGTTAGCACAGGAGAACTCATTCTTACCTGATTGAATAACTACAACTGAGGTTCACAAACCACAGCCATGAACAGGTTTTAACATTTCAAATGCTTGAAAAAAAAATCAAAAGCATATTTTGTGACATCTGAAAATTATATGAAATTCAAATTTCAGTGTCCTGAAATAAAGGTTTGTTGGAACACAAGCCCTTTTGTTTGTTTACGTGTTGTCAGTGGCTGCTTCTGTGTTCCCAGGGCAAAGTTGAGGAGTTGCAACAGAGTTTTAAATATTTACTTGCTGGCTCTTTAGAGGAAAAAGTTTATCAATCCCTTATATACAGACAAAGCTCGTAAAATCCCAAGTGCAAATCTTAGCTAAAAATATCATTTGATAAACTAGAGAGCCACCCAGCAACACTGGAAGAAAGAGCTCTGGGGAGAGAGAGTATTTACCAGTAAGGCCTAGCATGAGCTGGTTTAGAGATTGTCCACTTTGAGTTTTCCAATGCCAGACCCAGCTGTTCCCAGGGACAACTAACAGAGAAGGACAAGTGGCCTTACTAGAGGATGGAAGAAGAGGGTGCCACCATAACAGTCTGTTGTTTTCATCCCTTTGAAAGTCCAATCCCTATCAAATATAGCCCCAGGTCCCAGAATTGGGCCACCATACATGAAGAGTTCTCTTCTTCTTTTTTTTTTTTTTTTGAAACAGAGTCTCACTCTGTCGCCTGGGCTAGAGTGCTGTGGCATCAGCCTAGCTCACATCAACCTCCAACTCCTGGGCTCAAGCGATCCTCCTGCCTCAGCCTCCCAAGTAGCTGGGACTACAGGCATGTGCCACCATGCCCGGCTAATTTTTTCTATATATTTTTAGTTATCCAGCTAATTTCTTTCTATTTTTAGTAGAGACGGGGGTCTTGCTCTTGCTCAGGCTGGTCTTGAATTCCTGAACTCAAACGATCCTCCCGCCTCGGCCTCCCAGAGTGCTAGGATGACAGGCGTGAGCCACCGTGCTTGGCCCAAGAGTTATCTTCTTTTAAGTCCCCACGCCTTGATTGACACTAGATTGACACTTGATTGACATGCCTTGATTTGACCCTCAAGTCAAAGCAGAAGGGAGGAATGGTTGCCAAGAGTGGTACCTTTCTAGAATTTGACACTCATCAACGAAAATCGGTGGCATCATCTACCTTTCATGCCACTTTTGTTTCTGACCTGCTTTTGTTTTGTGTTCTTCCCCTCCCTCCCCTGCGCCCCAACCCCTGACCCCCAAAGGTGATTTTGAAGGATGTGGACTCACTTCTCTACGTGGACACCGACGTTCTCTTTCTGAGACCTGTCGATGACATCTGGAAGCTTCTGAGGCAGTTTAATTCCACCCAGCTGGCAGCCATGGCTCCCGAGCACGAGATCCCCAAGATCGGCTGGTACAGCCGCTTCGCCAGGCACCCTTTCTACGGCGCCGCGGGGGTCAACTCGGGCGTCATGCTCATGAACCTGACTCGCATAAGAAGCGCCCAGTTCAAGGTAACGACGTGCTTTAAGGTGCCACGTTTAAGGATCGGGAGTTAAGTCTTCGCGACAGTGACATTCCCAGAGAGTGGATCTGCCGATTTTGGAAATAGGTGGCCTCCGGGTGAGGATGGAAAGAGCCAGAGAAAAGTATCTGGAAAATTCTGGAATATTTGTTTGTTTAGGAAAAGCCCAGAGGGCTATGGGATTTAAAGCTTCGGCACGGTTACCATTCAGGAATATTATTTTGCATTTCTGAATTTCATGATATTTTAACTCCTTTGCATACCCAAGGCTTTAAAGACCATGCACAATTTCTTGGAATGACCCTAGGCATATATTTATATATATATGAAAGGACAGAGAAATATTTGTACGAGAGTGTTTGTGATCTCGTAATTTATCCTAGCAAAGAACTGGAAAGAACCTAAGAGAATATCAGTAGAGAACTAGTCAAAAAACAAAACATGATCTTCCTATTCAAAAGAATAGATTGGTCTGTAAATGAGCTAATAAGATCTCTAAGAAAATATAAAGGGAAAAAAATTTAAATGCCAGCACATCATGATACTCTACAATGTGACTGCTTTTATGCCTTAGAAATTCCATAAATGAGGCTGGCGCGGTGCCTCTGTCGTTATCCTAGCATCTCTGGGAGGCCGAGGCGGCAGATTGCCCAGGTCAGGAGTTCGAAACCAGCCTGAGCAAGAGCGAGACCCGTCTCTACTATAAATAGAAATTAATTGTCACTATATATATAGAAAAAATAGCCAGGCATGGTGGCGCATGCCTGTAGTCCCAGCTACTGGGGAGGCTGGGCAGGAGATGGCTGATGCCCAGAGTTTGAGGTTGCTGTAGCTAGCTGACGCCACGGGCACTCACCTAGCCTGGCGACAAGTGAGACTCTGTCTCAAAAAAAAAAAAAATTTCCAAAAGAATACCGAAAGAACCATTAATTTTCTTGTGGATTCTTTCTGGAAAAGTGGAATGATGATATATGGGAAGAATAGTTTTACTTTTTATTTATACTTCTGTGAGTGAATATTAGTCTAAATGTGTGCTTTTTCTGTTAAATGTAATTCATTATTTTAAGACAAGAAAGGTGCTTTTCCTTAAGATCCTTAATTCTGCTGTCTGTATTTTGTTCCTTCACTTCAACAGACAAGAAATGAGCCATAAGAGAGAGTGTCGAGCTCAGGCATGGTTTTCTGAGTAGAGACCATGGCCCAGCTCCGAGTTCTTGGTCAGCTAGCATCTCCGCGTGTATCTAGCAAACGCTACAGTTGACGGCCCTTTTTGCTTTGTCTTCTGCCCTGAGGATAGCAGGAGCCTCCTTCCTCTATTTGCTTCATTCCTCAGAAGACAGAGCGCCTGTCCCTCTCTCTACCTGGCTTCTCAGTGGGCAAGACGTATTTGCTCGGCTTCAGCTGCTCTGGCGGTTTTCTCTTTTCCAGAACAGCGTGATTCCAACAGGCCTGGCTTGGAAGACATGTTGTACCCTCTGTACCAAAAGTACAAGAATGCCATCACCTGGGAGACCAGGATTTACTGAATATCATTTTTTTCCTTCAATCCAGGTAGGTCCTCTTCCAAGAATGTCGTTGTGTAGTGAGTGCGCCCAGCTTGCCCCCCACCCCCACCCCGGAACATTCCGGCCCCTGGTGCTGTGCCAGGCTCGAACTGTGCACAGAGGCACCCGAGTTCCCCGGGGAAGCCACCCCTTTCTCCCACCACCCTGGGTGTTGGCCGAGGCCGATCCTCATGCTACTGACACAAAAGGCAAATGCTGAAACTTCCAACACTGGACTCCTTTTTTAGAGAATATCCTTTAGATTTTGCTACACCGTTCTTCTAAGAAGTACAGTCAAAACTGATGTGAGCCCCCACAACCATGCATGGCTAGCTTTGCCTTTTTATTTTTTTTTTTGAGACAGAGTCTCACTCTGTTGCCCTGAGTAGAGTGCCTTGGCATCAGCCTCGCTCACAGCAACCTCCAACTCCTGGGCTCAAGCGATCCTCCTGCCTCAGCTCTCCGAGTAGCTGGACTACAGGCATGCGCCACCATGCCCGGCTAATTTTTTCTATGTATGTTTAGTTGTGCAGCTAATTTCTTTCTATTTTTGGTAGAGGCAGGGTCTCACTTTTGCTCAGGCAGGTCTCGAACTCCTGAGCTCAAACGATCCACCCACCTCGGCCTCCCAGAGTGCTAGGATTACAGGCGTGAGCCACCGCGCCCAGCCTAGCTTTGCCTTTTAAAAAGAATTGATGTGAAGCACAAACTACATGAAAATATTATAATCTAGGCAAGAGACCCTCCCTAGCCTGAACAATTACAAGACTGAACAGAACTGATCCTGAGGGTCCTCAGAGTTAAGGGATTTGTACAAGGTTAATAAAGCTTAGAATAAAGACTCAAATTCCCAAATCCCTTCTCCCCCCTCCAATATGGGGCAAAAGAAACTCCTCTTATATTATTAAGTCAGTGATTTGATAGAGTTGGGGAGGAAAGGGGAGATGAAAATTTCTGGCTTATATTTCTATATTAACATGTAAAGCTAATAAAATATCTTTTTTTCTCTTTTTTGCTAAAACCTTATTTAATGTCATTAAAAATTAAAAGCATGTTTTCTTCTTGAGAGAGATCTTTGGGGTTAAAAAAAAAAAAGGGCAAAAGCAATCCTTACCCACCCTATTCAGGCCTTTGCTTTGTCTTTAAAAACCCTGAAGCAAATAAAAAAAAGAAAAAAAAGAAAAAAATAAAAATAAAAAACAAACAAAAAAAAAACAAGAAATAAATAAATAAATAAATAAAAAGAAAAAAAAGAGAAGAAAAAAAAATAAAAAATAAATAAAAAAATAAAAACCCTGAAGCAGAAATTACTGTTTATAAAGACTTTGCCCATGATTGCATGTCACCTTTGTTTAAAAAGAAAAAAAATCTGGTATAAAACCTCATTTCATATGTGTTTAGATCAAAAAGGATCAAATCCTACAAAAGAAAAGAAAAAGGAAAGGGAAGGGAAGAGAAGGGAAGGAAAAGGAAGGGAAGGGAAGGGAAGGGAAGGAAAGGGAGGGGAGGGGAGGGGAGGGGGAGGGGGAGGGAAAGGGAAAGGGAAAGGGAAAGGAAAAACAGGTTGATACAGAGTTTCTAGGAAAGACTCCCAATACTAATCCAGGAGAGGAAGGGAATGGTCTTGGCTGTGCACTTGTTGTGTGTTTTAATCCATTTCACTCTGACCCTAACAGGGAATTTAGTCTACACCTCCTCATTTTTCTTCTAAGCAGATTTCATCTTTTTTCTACGTGTAAATGTATTGGTTAGGACTCTTGGCTGCAAATAGAAGACCCTGGGGTTAGTTGAAGCACAAAAGATACTCTTTAAATAAGCAAAGTGGGAGACCTCGGTGAGATTTACTTTTTCCCATTGAAGCTGTTTATTCCTGTCTTTGTTTTTTTGTTTTGTTTTTGTTGTTGTTGTTGTTGTTTTGAGACAGAGTCTCACTCTGTTGTCTGGGCTAGAGTGCAGTGGCATCAGCCTAGCTCACAGCAACCTCAAACTCCTGGGCGCAAGTGATCCTCCTGCCTCAGCCTCCATCTCACTCTGTCACTCGGTAGAGTGCAGTGGTGTGATCAGAGCTCACTGCAGCCTCGAACTCCTGAGCTGGAAAGATCCTCTCACCTCAGCCTCCCAAGTAGCTGGGACTACAGGCATGCGCCATCACACCTGGCTAGTTTATTTTTTTTAGTAGAGACGGATCTTGCTATGTTCCAGCCCTGGTCTCTAACTCCTGGCCTTAAGCAATCCTCCTGACTCAAGCCTCCAAAATGCTGGATGATAGCATGACCACCACGCTGGCTTGCCTGATCATTTTAATTTCATGCAATATAGGTTTGCTACTTGCCTTGTACCTGTATCAACAGAATGGAGGCTGTTTGATTGCACTAGTATTGTTTTGTTTTTTTTCTAACGTCCCATCTGGAACTGCACTTCCTGCATTCCCTTCTTCCTTCCTCCAGAATATACTCTTGCTCCAGAAAGGGCAATTAATTTTCCAAAGAGACTCTCTGATTACAATCAAAGCAAGCTTCTTCTCTCCTTCCAGCCTTGCTGGTCTCTTTCTCAATCCCTCATTGGTTTCCTTCATAGCATTCATCAGTCTAGCTTTGAATTTTGGACAGTCTAGTTATTAATATTATCCTTCGGGAGTCTACCTCTTTCAATAAAAGGTGGTCTTGTGAAAACAGACACTTGGTCTCATCTGATGTCATGGCCCTGGCACCGAGCCCCGTGGCTGGTACACAGCAGGTGCTTAAAAAATATCTGCTGAGGCCGGGCGAGGTGGCTCACACCGTAATTTAACATCTGGAGCCGAGAGGAGGATCGCTCAAGGTCAGGAGTTCGAAACCACCTGAGCAAGAGCGAGACCCCGTCTCTACTTATAAATAGGAAGAAATTATTGCCAACTAATATATATAGAAAAATTAGCCGGCATGGTGGTGCATGCTGTAGTCCCCAGCTACCGGGAGCTGAGGCAGGAGGATCGCTTGAGCCAGGAGTTGGAGGTTGCTGTGAGCGAGCTGACGCCACGGCACTCACTCTACCTGGGCAACAGAGTGAAGACTCTGTCTCAAAAAAAAAGACTGCTGAATGAATGAATGAAATGGCCTTATACCTTCTACGCATGCATCTTTTTCTCTTGCTGTTGCTTTCTTCCTCTCCTTTCTGTCCCCATTTCCCTTTCTCTCATTTTCTGGCTGTGGTCTCTTTCTCCCCCATGCATTTCACACCTTGCACCGTCCTCTAATTCCATTTCATTCACCAAGCAACACTTCTGAAGACCGACTCCACTGAAAGCACTGAGCACCGAGCCTGAGCACTGTGGAAGACACGAAGCAGACACAACCCATCTCATGCAGACCCTGCAACTGCTATCCTTTTCCCTTGTGCTTTATGTCACCGCCATGATTGTCCAAGATTCCCCAAACAGTGATTTGTTAGCAGTTTCCCGGAACAGCCCGATATCCAAAACCGCCTGCCACCCGCTGCACAGCGCAG